TTGTGTGCAAATCCAGAAATGAAAAGAACTTCAAAGGGCCGACCAAAATCAAGTCATATAAGAACTGAGATGGACATTACAGAAAATCAAAATAGGATTAAAAAATGTTCATATTGTCATACCCCTGGTCATAGCAGAAGAACATGTCCCAATGTTGCATGTGCATCTACTTCGCATCATTAGATTGTGTTAGTTAAGAAATATCTCAATGTATGAATCTTAGGAGTTTTTCAATTAATTGAAAGTGATGAAGATCTTATTGAATCATTTAATAAAACGAAGATCTTGTGGGTTTGATGAAGTCAAAGGTTATTTAAGGAACTTTTTGCTAACTATTTTAATCTAATCAATTAAAACTTGTTGTTATCAATTAAAATAACTTAGAAAGTTTTGTGAAAATTTTTGAAGAAACTCATTCTGCAGGAGTTGCATAATTCTGCAGGAGCTGCATAATCAAGCGAAGAATCGCCGCTTAAGCGAAAAACGCATAAGATAGTGGTTCTAGAACTAACAACTATTAAAAGTACATTTTAGATAGCGGTTCTCTTTAAATATGTTTGGATCCTTCTGCTTTTGTCTAACCCAATGCAGGGAATCCAAGATTGGAATCCTAACTTAGGTGGGTAACTCAGCATTGGATTCTTTACTTGTGTGCATCAGAAAGACATGGGAATCTTGACTTCAGTGGGTGACTCAGCATTGTAAATAGTTGCAGGTTTCCTCGCTCAAGCGATGGGTTTCTTCGCTTGAGCGAGAATTAACTATAGCTAAACGTCCAACGCAGTTAGCCACATAATGCAACTTGGGCCACCACATATTTCAATAACTTCTCGCTCAAGCGAAAGTACCCGTCGCTTGAGCGAGACAGAACCCGAGAGTCCCCCTTGTTTGATGGCTTTGTCCCTCAAGCGATGACTTTATCGCTTGAGCGAGTATTGACCGAATGTCGAAACGTCAAACGCAGTTAGCCAAATAATATAACTTGGTTCACCACATATTAGAATCACTTGTCGCTCAAGCGTTCATAAAGTCGCTTGAGCGAGACAGAACCCGAGAATCCCCCATTTTTCCAGGTGTCCTCGCTCAAGCGATGTGTTTTTCGCTTGAGTAACCTTAGATAGCGGTTGACAACAACCGCTTTTAAAAATATATATTAAATAGCGGTTAGGCTTTAACCGTTGTCTAATGTAGTAGTTTAGATAGCGGTTTGCCAAATAACCGCTATCTAAAGTCATATATGATCGACTATAATTGGATAATAATCGATCATACTTTTCGCTCAAGCGAAAATATCCGTCGCTTGAGCGAGAATTACCCCTTCGTTACAGATTTTATCGCTCAAGCGAAGGGTTTCTTCGCTTGAGCGAGAATTTACCCGAGATTACCCCTTTGTTACAGATTTACTCGCTCAAGCGAAGGTTTTCTTCGCTTGAGCGAGAGTTCATTACGCGAAATGATCGATCATAATATAAAATGATCGATTATTTTATTATGTGAACAGTAAACGGTGCTAGTTGTGTAAATAAAGTTGCAGAGGTGCTATTTTGGAAAATATTTTTGAAAACAGTATTATTTATGAAAAAAAGTCACTTAAAGGTAGGGGTGTAAAGTGAGTCAACCCGGCTCACACGGGTTGGCTCACCACGGGTTGAGCTGAAAATAGATGAGGTCAACCCGGCTCACTTTTTGGTGAGTCAAAAATTTTACAACCCGGCTCAACCCACCATGGGTTGGTGGGTTAGGTGGGTTGACTCACTAACCCATATTTTTTTTAAATAATATAAATATAATATATATATATATATATATATATATTTCCAAACTTCGGATGTAGAAACTTTTGCTTTTTTCCTTTTTTTCTCAACATCAGTATCTTCATTATTAACTCGAAATTGGCTCATTGGGTTTTTCATTAACAATAAAATCATCACCAACACAATTCACATTGACACTTTGATGCATTGTTTCGCATTCCATACTCGTAAATTAATTTGAAAGAAAGAAGTCAAAAATTCATATATTAAAGAGATATACGTATAAATCAATAACAAACAACAAATAATGTATAGATGCTACAAGTAGGTACGGTGATGTAGTGATACGATGAAGATGAACATATGATAAGATAGTGCAATGACAAACGTAGTGTTGCTGATAGGGTTTGACTTGTTGTGGCAGCAATGACAATATAGGATAGTAGATGAGGCAGGATAACATTTAGGATTACTGAAGTATTATAATTGTTTTTAAAATTTAAAATATAATTATTAATTAAGGTTAATATATATATTATAATTATTTTTAAAATTTAAAATTAATGGTGGGTTGCGGGTCAACCCACCATAACCCGATTTGAACCCGTTTAACCCGTGGGTTAAGTGAGCCGGGTTCATTTTTAGCCCATAATCGGTATAAATAAAAAAATTCAACCCAACCCGACTCGAACCCGTGATGAGCCGGGTTCGCTTACGGGTTAGAACCGATATTGACACCCTAGTTAAAGGTTCCTAGAATTCAAACTGAACTCAAATTCCATGAACATGTTATCGAAACAGTATAATTAGTAAGTGCTCTACACGGTTTTAGGGCATGTTTTTATGATGTGTTTATAAAAAATTTGTGATAAGACTCGGTGGAACTTATGACATTTCGTGAGTCTATACATTTCAGCTACCTATCAAGATTATATATTTAAAATGTATCAGAGTGTCATTTCAAATTTCTTAACTTAAATCTTCATTCATGAATACATTTAGATTAATCTCTTCATAAATAGAAATAAATATCAAATATATTTTTTTAAAAAAAATTAGATTTTAAACAAAATTTAATTTTATCTTAAATTAGTTTTTTTTTAACTCCTAAAATCATTTTATGACAACAATTATTCAAACAAATTCTATATCAGTTTCAAAACAACTTTTTTTAAAAATTGTTAATTAACATCATTTTGTAACCATTACACATGCTCTCCATGTTTATTATACATCATGAACCTGTTCGGTAATAAAGAAAAAAGTTTAAAAAATAAAATAGAATAAAAAATATTATTATTGATTTAAAAAAAGTGATATAAGAATGAAAAAATATTCATTTTAAAAAATAATAAATAATTAAATTAAAATTAAATATTTATTTAATTATAAAACTATTCATATAACTGTTAATTGATTTTTTATTAATAAAATATTTTTTTAAATAATATATTTAAATATCTATATTTATAAAATATTAAAATAATATTATATTACAAACAAATAAAAAATATATAAAATTATTAATTTGATTTTTATAATCATGTTTATATTTATAATATTTTATTAAAATAATTATATATATATATATATTTATTGGTGGATATTTAAAATTTTCTTATTTATCACTTAATTTTAATGTGCTCTCGTACTTATTATAATTGGGAAATTTTCGAAAGCATAGTCTCCATGTCTATATTCATAGAGTTTTTAATAAACTTAAATGACTGTTATAATTATACGCTGAGATCAATAGAGATGAATTGATCTTTGTAATCTTTTTCGTAATTAAAAATTTTAAAGATTAAGAAATCTGATCAATTATTGAATTAGGAAAACTAAACTGAATTAAATAAGATTCAAGGAGAATTAAAGAAAATGATGAAAGAAAAACAGAAACACGAAGAATTATACTAGTTTACTCAAATCAGTGGGCTACATCTCGTTCTTAACTAAATTCCAGTTAAATTTTACTAGATTGAATAGTTTGATTTACAGAATCAAATTACAAAAAATCTAACTTGCACTAAGAACTAAATTCTAGTTCTTATACCCAACCTGCAACCAAATTTTAGTTGCAAAATTAAACCTGCACCAATAACCAAATTTCAGTTCTTAAACTTGCACTAAGAACTAAATTTCAGTTCTTAAATCTAACCTACAGCCAAATTTCAGTTGTAGAACCAAACTTGTTCTAAGAACAAAATTCAAGTTCTTGAATCCAACCTGCGATCAAATTCCAATTGCAGAACGAGTGTCTAATCTTCTAGACATAAAGACAATACAAAATAAAATTGAAAGAATAAATAAACTAGAACAATCAAAACTGATTATGATACAAAAATCCCAATGCAGAATAAGTTTTTTCACAAGCAATAATATAAAAATGCATCGAGAAAGAACTTTGAAAATTTCCACCGAAAATAGCGTGCTTCTTTCTTAAAAATATCTCAATTAATTGCTTGAAAGATTTCTAAAAGATATGTATTTAAAACGTTGAAGCAAATATGTTTATACAGATATTTTTCTAACAAACCGATATAATTAATCGGTTAATTCGTGTTTTAATCTATTAAAAAATCATGTTTCTAATCTGTTTTAATCGATGAAAATATCATTTAATCGATTAAATTATTAAATAACACTTTCTAGAAATATTTTAATTGATAAAAACACGGTTTAATCGATTAAAATTATTATACAAAAATTCTTAATAATCGATTAAAATAATGACAGAACATGTTTACACTTATTTTAAGTGATTTTAATCTATTAAAATGAATATGTATCGATTAAAACCGTGATGAGAAAATATTTTTACTTATTTTAAATGGTTTTAATCGATTATTTTAAATATATATCGATTAAAACTGTGATGAACGTAGTTATACTTGTTTTAAGTAATTTTAATCTATTATTTCAAAAATATATTAATTAAAAATGTATTAAAGATGTTTTTAGCTGATTTTAATAAATTAATGTGTAAATTTTTCACTTAAATCTGAAACTTAAGAATATATTAATCGGATTTTTAACATATTAAAAAGTTTAAAAATATTTTTATTTCTTTCAAATAATAAAATCATGGACAGATAATTATAGTTACTTATACAAAATCACCAAATGCATCCCTTACCCCATATATGCTTTCACTAACGAATCTTCACTTATTGCATACGCCTAAGGACAAAATTAAACTAAGTTAACAATATCAGTGTTCCCTTGGAGAGACATTAGTTTGGAATCATGATAAGAAAAAGAAAAGGCACCACCACGTCCGTTACCGACGTTGGAACCCTTAAACAGATTCACTCCTTAATGATCGTTAATGGTTTCGCTACCAACGTTGCCTTCCTTCGGAAACTCGTTCTCGCTGCAGCCTTGTCAATGGTTGGTCCAGCGGCCAAAGCCGCCGTGACACAATACGCACTCCAAATGTTCGCTCAAATTCCCCAACCAGACACCTTCATGTGGAACACCATCATCAGAGGCTCTTCTCAGAGCCAAGATCCGGTGCAAGCGGTTTCACTGTATGCCCAAATGGACCAGCGTTCCGTAAAGCCGGATAACTTTACTTTCCCATTTGTTCTCAAGGCTTGCACCAAGCTCTCTTGGGTCAACACTGGTTCAACAGTTCATGGTCGGGTTTTGAGGCTTGGGTTTGTTTCAAATGTGGTTGTAAGGAATACCCTTTTGGTTTTTCATGCTAAATGTGGAGACTTGAAGATTGCGACTAGGATTTTTGATGATTCGGATAAGGGGGATGTGGTTGCTTGGTCTGCACTCATTGCTGGGTATGCCCAAAGAGGGGATTTGAGTGTTGCGCGGAAACTATTTGATGAAATGCCAAATAGAGATTTAGTGTCATGGAATGTGATGATTACAGCATACGCAAAGCATGGGGAGATTGAGTGTGCTAGAAAACTTTTTGATGAGGCTCCTGTGAGGGATGTCGTCAGTTGGAATACCGTTATAGGTGGTTATGTGCTCCGTGGCTTGAACCGGGAGGCATTGAAGTTGTTTGATGAAATGTGTGGAGTTGGGGAGTGCCCGGATGAGGTAACAATGTTGAGCTTGGTGTGTGCTTGTGCTGATTTGGGGGATTTAGAGAGTGGTGAGAAGGTGCACGCCAAGATCATGGAAATAAGTAAGGGAAAGTTGAGCACATTGTTGGGAAATGCTCTTGTTGATATGTATGCTAAGTGTGGAAATATTAGGAAAGCAATTCGTGTGTTTTGGTTGATAAGAGATAAAGATGTAGTATCGTGGAACACGGTCATTAGTGGGTTGGCCTTTCATGGCCATGCTGAGGAATCTCTTGGTCTTTTCAGCGAAATGCAGAGGACCAAGGTTTGTCCAGATGAGGTCACTTTTGTTGGTGTTTTGGCAGCTTGTAGTCATGCTGGGAATGTTGATGAAGGAAATCGTTATTTTCATCTTATGAGAAATAAGTACAAGATTGAGCCAAACGTTAGGCATTGTGGATGTGTGGTTGACATGCTAGGACGGGCTGGTCTTTTGAAGGAAGCGTTTGATTTCATAGGCTCCATGAAAATTGAACCTAATGCAATTGTTTGGAGGAGTGTGCTTGGAGCTTGCAAAGTTCATGGAAATGTGGAGTTGGCAAAACAAGCAAATAAGCAGCTGCTTAGAATGAGAGGAGACCAAAGTGGGGACTATGTGTTACTGTCAAATGTATATGCTTCACAAGGTGAATGGAATGGGGCTGAGAAAGTTAGGAAGCAAATGGACGACAATGGTGTCACAAAAAATCGCGGTTCTAGCTTTGTTGAGGCATACAGTTGATGATCATAAGTATTATGTGGTAACATGGATGTTGATCAATTATTGAACTATCATTTATTCTTTTTTGGTTCAACACCAACTGATAGGTGGATTAAAAATGTTGTATATTCAACTCCACACTGTGACTCTGAAAACCATAAAGAGAAACTTCATACTGCAGGACAAAACTCTTTTTGGCATATTCATACAAAGATCAATCTGTTTCTACGGACTGAACATGATTGGGTGGAGATACATTTGACCTTTGGGGCTGTTAAGATGTTTGTTCCTGCAATGTTTCAAGTCATATTGAATATGAAACAATCCCCTCACAAGTTGTAAATATCTTAATATTTTAAATTCATAGCCTGGATGAGGATTGTACCTAAAGCAGTCATTGGAATTTGCAAGGACTTTACTTAGAGTTGCATAGTTCATGAAGAAGTGAAGATGGAAAAACACAGTTGAGTGGTGAATATTTGATGTGCCTTGAATTGGAGAAAAAGATTCATTTTATAGGCATGCTTTTCAAATCCATCCCTGCACTAACAACGCTAAATAGTTCCTTTTAGAAAAACAAATCTATTGATTAGAACTTTTCCCTTCGATTGACAACACACTACATATCTTTTCTTGGAAAGGTCTTGATTATAAGGACTCAGGTACCCCTTTACCAATTACATACTAATATAGTTGTCTTTGCTGATAAATAAAACATATTTTCATTTCATTTGGAAAACTTGCTAAAGCCAGTTCTTCTTTTGTTTGATGAGTAATTAAAGTGGAGTACCTGCTATACTTCTCTATCTTCTATATTCAATTTTAAATGGGCCTTTCCCTCTCCAAAAAGATTCCCACAATAGGAAACTTTTTACAATTAAGGATATAACTAATAAGGATGTAACCAATAAAAGATAATTAATGTTATTATAAATTTCAAAACAAAGAAATCAAATAAATATTTTAAAAATTCTACAATTAAATGAAAACAAACGAAGTATTATCTGCCCCCCACAAGTATAATCCAAAATCTCAGCGTTTTAAACATTATATTTAGGGCTTAGTTGGTGAGGATTAACAGTGGTTAGCCATTAACTAATTGCAATATCTGAAAAAAATTAGTGTCACTATCATTGCTAATAATAAAACATTTGCGCTCCTGTGACTACTAACGCTAAATTCATCTTAGTTCTCCATGACCAATAGTAGGCAACAGTTTTGCTTTCACAAATTTAGAAGAACGAGGAAACAAAGAGAATGGGAATTTTCAAGAATTTAGTTCCATTTTGATGTCTTAAAAGACTTCAAACAGATTTATTTTTTATTTAGCAACTAATACAAACCAATTTTATTAAAAAATAAAAATATATGTATATATATTGAGTCACTTAGAAATATAATTATTTCTGTTTTTTTTTTAATATTTCTTATATAAAAATTCATGATTCCTTAACTATTTGAAAGCAACAAAAATACGCATGAATTTTGAGGCAGTTTCTAACAATAATAAAGAAATATCAAATAAGTAAGAATGTGCCTTTGATCTGGTGACTCCAATAATATAGAAGCAGCTATATAAACAAATAAAAAGGATAGAAACAGATACATGCTTACAAACATTATAAGGAAAGAACACAGAAAGCAGAAAAAAAAAAAAAGGATGGCAATCAATGCTTCCATATAGTAACATAACGTTACAATACTTAAGAAATCTAAAGCAATAAATAACCACGGCTTGGACCATTGTTACAAATTACATCATGAAATCAGAGAAATGGAGATCAAGCTCAAATGAACTAATTTCTGGCAGCTTCAGCAAATACTTCTCCAAATTATGTGATTATATATTCTCTCAACTAGCACGCAAGTCCGCAAGTTAAGTAATCTAGTAGTATGCATGATAGAGCATGGATGAGTAAAAAGTTCTACATCAGATAGGAATAAATCTGAAGTGTAATATAGAAATGATAAAGACCAGTAAATTAACCTAATGTCCTAAAACAATTGATGAAAAGTAGTGCCGAGTTTATTTGCATGTCTTACTCCTGACCTAGATCTCCAGTGTGTTATCTTCTGGTGTTTCCTTAGTGCTCAACATCTGTGGAAAGAGTTGACCATAATAAATTCAATAATATTCATCAAATATCTGACATGGGAGAAGGAGGCCTTTGCGTAGCCATAGTTGACTTGCCGGTTAACTAGTTAGCATGGGAACATGATAGAATTAGAAGTAGGTTTTCATAATAATGTCAAAGCAAGCTTAACGGCAAGTCATCCTTGGCTGCACTACAAGACCTCATTCACACATGCAAGACATTTTAGATGAAATCTGAATTGCCTTAACATCGACAAAACTGTACAGAATTTGGTGTTGACCAATCAAAATGAGCCATCACTGGCACTGGAATGGGCTTTTTTTCCCGAATGGGGAAGACAACATTCTCAACAACTACAATGAAGGGAAAAGGAGGAAAAGAAGAGGCCAATTGGCCTTCAAGGCCTTGTTGGTTGGCAGGAAATGGACGAATGGAGTTTGTTTGAAGCGAACAGAAAGGTTCTGATAAGTTATTATATAGAGAAATTGATTGTAGTGTGTCACTGTGTCAGACCAAAGCTTTAATGCATTACTGCATTCGGGACAGCCCATAACTGTCCTTTGTCTAAGGGAAATTTTGAAAAAGGAGGGTAATCTTAGGGAGCTCTTATTGGTGGATGTGACTTTGCAAGGGTGAAAAAGCCAATAAACACACACTTTATTAGATGCATCCCCATCACCAAAGTCTGAGTAGCTAGTTTCTGAGGTCTCTTATTAAAGCTCATTTAAGGGAAGTAGCAGCTTTTTGACCAAGTTGAAGGAGCACCTCTAACTAGGGCCCTATTTTTGAGTTGGGTGGAAGAATTTACTGCATTTAGCTACGAGAGAAACACAGCATAAATATGTTACATTGGTGAAACTTCTTAGATAATGCTCATAATCCCTCCTCTTCTACAATAATACTTGTATGTCTTTCCACCCACTACTGTCAATTTCATGTTTCCAAAGATTTGCTATCCCATTCATTATTCAACGTTAATCATAGAAAGATAAAATCCTTTCTAGAACATCAACACTAACAAGGGAGTTTAAGTGTATTTTAATGTAAAAAGAATAGCTGTGTCCCATTATTGGCAGCATCCGTGCTTCATGGTCTAAATATTGGTTATGATATAAATATAGATGTCTAGAAGACATAATTGAGCTTGGTTAATTATACTTGTTGTTATTGACTGCCATAGTTGCTAGAACTAGAAGTTCAGAATTAACAGGTAGCTTCTTAGTTACTTCAGAGAGGTCTGACAAGAGGAAAAACAAAGCGCAAGATTTCAATGGCTGTAAAAGTTGGAATGCTTCCTTGTAGGAACCGCTGCTAACAAATATCTCTCATTGTAAACACCACAGACATGCTTGCTTCCACTAAGCATGGGATGCTTGACAAAGCTTCTGTGCTTCTGTTATTTTAATTTGTTTATTACAAAAACTTTTTCATGTTACACAGTGAAATTTATTTTATTTTGAACTAATATATATAATCTTTCTAATTTATTTCTTTTCTTTCAATTTTTATCTCTCAAACTTCCTTCTCATGACAATTTTATTACTTTTAACTATCCTATTTCATTTTTTTTAATTTTCATTTTAGGTATTAATAAAAAATATTTGTGAAATTATTATAAAAATAAATTTCTTATTTTTTAAATTTTATTATTGTTTAAATAAAATAATTATAATTTGATGAGTAAATTATTTATGAAGTACAAAAATGAGATTTTTATTTGTTTAATAAGAAACTAAAAGAAGATGATAAATTAAATAGAATAGTTGTGTTGAAGATTCTTAAAAAGGAAAAAGGTAATAATATATACATTTTTGTTGCAGTGATGTTTTTGTCATTTTAGTAAAACTTGATCTAGTTAAATATTTATCTTAATTTTTATTTTGTATTAATACAAATATTTTGAAAAAAATAATGATATAAATAAATCTTTTAATTTTTGTATTCTATTTGTTTTATAAATAAATAACTACAACGTAATAAAAAAAATTATTGATGGAAAATAAAATGTGAATTTCTTCTGAATCTCGTCTAAAACTTCAGATAAAGATTGTGGACTAAAAAATACTTGTAAAAATGCCTAAATTGAAAAAAGCAAAAAGAAATCATATGTTACCCACTTAATAGGAAGATATCCATTGAAGTAAGTAAACTACTAGACTACTCACACACACCTGTATTGTATAACAATGAGTACATGTTAACGTTTATAAGTTAATATACTCTCATCTAACTATATATATATATATATATATATATATATATATATAGAAGAAAAAATCAATAAAAAATAACACTGAATAACGAATTACTAAGTATAATAAATTTATTAACTTTTACAACAAAACTCTAACAAACTAATAAAACATAAATACTATTATCAATACTGATTATGAAATATATAAATAAAAAAAATTAAAAGAAAAAAATGTTAAAGTTAATTGAAGAACATATTCAAAATCCTTATTATTTATAATAATTTCAAGCAGAATTCCTTTATTAAGAACCATTTTTACGAATATCAACTTTTTGTTGTAAAATATAACAAATGCATAACTATATTACAATATTCATGCCAGTGCCCATTCCAGCAACTTTAGTTAAAAAGAGATCCAATTTAAAGACAAAATGTACTAATTTTTCGCATAATTGTTATTGATTGATAAAATTTACAAGCTGGCTTTATTGTCCATAGAGCAAACACTACAAAGCAACAAAATATGGGGAAATCTAGTCCAAGAGGCCTCATATTAGGCTTCGTACGTATGGACTGAAATAAGGGGATGCGGATAAAAGGTTGGAGAAAAGAGAGAGAATGAAAGAAAATATAAGGCAAAAAATAACAGGCTTCATTTCAATGTTTATTTGCCTTTTCATTCTTTTCTTTATTATGTCTCATTAAAGTCAAACGTTTACTTAATATTTTGCTTCAGTTTTAAGTTGCATTATTCTGATCCAATTTAACATGCAACGGATAACAGAACTAAATAATTTTAGCTCGTGTTACATTCAGTCATGAAAGTACGGTCACGTAGAACACACAAGAGATGGCGTAAAGCCCTTGCAATCAACTTTTTTCCATCCGTCTCATTTAGATGCACCATCCCTTAAGTCACAATCAGATTTCTTAATATCGAGAAAGGGTTGATCCAACTCATCCCTTACAATGACTTTTTTTGATACACTGATTTGATAATTGGTTAAACAATGAAACATAGCAAGCTACCCGAAGAAATGGGAAAGGGATGAGCACAGAATCAGAAAGTAGATATAATGCAAGCTTCGGTAATATGACAAGCATCAGATATTTTCTATGCTAATCATGCTCAAGACAAGGTGATTACAAAATTCAACGGATTCCAACACCAGATTCAAATCTAAATATCATGAGATTTAAAAAAAATTATAACTTTCAGGCTTGTTGTGAATTCCCAACTCAAACAGAGATAGGTGTGCATCGTATATAACCTTAAGCCAGGGGCTTAGCTTACCTATTCCATAGCTTAAATGACCTGGCAAAAAGAGTAACAAAGAAGTGATTCCGCTGCATTCAATTAATGTTCCAAAAAAAGGGGCTTCGGAAAGAAAGAAATACATACCGCTGTTCTATTTCAATTTTCCATGATATCTATAAATATTGCTTGATTTCCAAAATCCCAGGGATCAAAACAAAATGGCATATGTTAGCATTTGATTCGTCCTTTTTAGACTTACAGCCTAAACAAAATACAAAACAACATCTAAAAGAAATTCAGGTCCTCCACGCCTCCTGTTCATTACAGCTAAAATTTCCAGACGACACATACTCGGTAACGTTAGTCACAACCGATATATGGATCAGAAAGTAAAGCATACTAATATATCAAAATATAAAATAACTAGATAAATTCCCTTTTTCTTTTAGGTATTTATCCAGTCGAATTGGACCACTATTTCAAGTGCAGACATTAACTAGTAAATTTGCCTACATGGGGTGCGCGCGCACAAAAAAAAAAAACATGTCAGACATTATTACGAACGACATCATAGGCCTCCAAAATAAACCTTTTGTGGCAAAAACATCCACCACTCGGTGTAAATGGACCAGTTCACCATATTTATGGACGACCAAGACGGACTGGATAAAAAAGGTCTGCGTTTTCCACAGGCTTAAAAGACCAACATAAACGCCTAAAGTGGCGTCCAAGACTATATTTTCAAATTCAATACATATTATCAGTCAGTAAATAGTTAACTGTTATATACCCAACAGACATGACTAACCATAACCATACTAGTACAAACCACGCTTCCAACAGGAAATTAACAATCTCAAGTGTAATCATGTACTGAGTTCCGCAAATTGTACTAACAATGTTAATGAAACAAACAATTAGCATGCCTGCATTTTGCAGGCTTAACAACAAAAATGCTTTCTACGGTTAAATATATGCTTTTGCTTGAAAAGTAAAACTGAAGGCAAACATGGATTGAAAGATAAATGACTCAATAAAAACATGTCAATTTTTATAATAAACCCCCTAATAATGGTATCTAAAACCTAAAGATATTTTAATTATGCCGTTTAATGCTTTTTATCAATAATGTACGATCATAGAAAAGGAAATGTAAAATTGTTCTATTTCTAATATAGTTAATAATATTTTTATTATGGATTAGATATTTATATTTATACTAATATTACTTCTAACAATTAATCGTTAATTTTAAGATTCAGGATAAATTTCAATTCTCACAACAGATTTCCCACGTAACAATTTGAATCCCTCGTTTCCAACAGCCATGATTAAAACTGCAATCGTTTGATGATAATAACATAAAGCCCACTTTAAAGATCTAACAAACTAAGTTTATTTTGATGAACTACATAACAAGTGGACAAGAGCAAATGCCTGCGAGGAAAAAAGAGTTCTTTTTGGCTGGCATAGAAAAATAATGCCAAAGGGGAAAATACTTCAAATTCGTCCCATTGTGATACAGTTTTTCCATTGACCAACAGGAACCTCTACCGCCAGAAAAGAAGACACATCTTCGAATAGGATCATAGGAAAACCCAAATAATAGTGGAAGTAATGTAATGGACTACACATCAAATATCTTGGATTTGGTAGGAAAAAACCAAAAAAGTTGAGGAAATAACCTCTCTCCTTGCGGAAATTTTGCTGAATTAGAATTAAGCTAAAATTATGACTGGGTCTAGAAATTAAAACAAACACGAGCTATGTACCAAATTGGTAATGCGGAAAAAGGACAAAAAAACAAGACGTTGTATATTTCTGTATCGTTAAAGATTTTGCATAACTCCAAATGCATTACCTTAGCCAAGAAAGCACTAAGCTTCAATTGTCCAATCAACTGCAAATATAATCAGATATCATACCTCTAATTCATCATATCTGAAGTACTGAACTACTTCCATAAATATGAATTATCATAGTCAAACAATGCAGCATACCCTCTCGCTTATGAAAGAGGAAGATATTGACACCTGCAATACAGACAGACAAAAGCTCTACCAATTTTTGATGCATAAAGACCAGGTCAACTTTTACCAGGAATCAACATAAATTAATTCAAATAACTATAGAAGTCAAATAATAGAGGACTATCATGAAAACAAAACCCAATCATAATAACAAATTAACAATATAGGTGTACAGTTGTCATCGGATGATAGCTACAAGGTGCTTTTAATCTAAAGATAATTGAACAGGAATTGAAAAGCAGCTGAAAAGGAAAGCCAGCTATATAGGTTCTTGGGGGAGCACTAGTTATCAAGCTTGTGAAATAAGGTAAAATGGACATGGCCAATTTCAATAGTCTTCACATGTTTGGTCCTCTAGGTAGAGGTGTCAAGGTGGGCCATGAGTTTGTCAAACCCTGGTTCATCTGGTCTTCCGGTTTAGGCAGTAGGCTTCAGGCTTCACAGAACTCAGCTGTTTGGATGGGAAGGGAAAGGCAACAAAGGGAAAACAAGAGCATCAGAATTCTAAATGGTACACTGGTCAGGTTAAGATATCAATCTGTTATATACTAATGTGAATGACCTATATTTTAGGAAGGTGACAGTTAATTAAAAAAATGAAAGCTGTAATCTACCTGCAGGGACTCATCAAGTTCTAGTAAGCATGGTTTCTCCTCCGAGAAGAACCATTCTGAGTAGACCTGACAATTGATGCTAAATATCAGCATTGATGAGTTGTCACTGAATATTAATCGGTAAAAGTAGCTTCCACTCAACATGGACCAGGGAAGAATATAGAATAATATAATGATAAATGGAAAATAAATAAGTTAATTAGTTACCCATAGGCACTAGTCCGTCCCAAAGAATAACTTCCATAAGCTCCATAAGCACCACCACCACTACCAAGCTACAGATATGAAATCAACAAATTAAGAAATAACACTAGATCTAGTGAAGCTAATTCACACTAGACTTTCACGTGTGTAAGGATGAAAAAGAAAAACCTGTGAATTTCCATAGCTTCCATAACCATCACCAGATGCCAAATCACTTGAACCTCCATACCCACCACGTCCATGTCGTTTACCATCTCTACTGTCATAGTTCAAGCCATCTGATCCATCAACTGAACCAGGAAGATATGGAAGCACTGGAAGGAATCCTGATACGGCACGCTCCTTATCAAAAAGATTTGCCCTCAGCCGTGTGAGTGCTTGCACAAGAGCATCCTTGGCAACGTCAAGGTCTCCTGAAATCTAGTCAACAGAAGAAACAAGAGTCACCATAGCTCATAATTATAGAACCGTGCAACTTTTTATTACAGAAAACAAGGTAACTAATCAATTCCAACAATGGCCTAACCTGCACCATTTCATCATCATCAGATGCAATTTTAGGAAGATTTTCCTTTGAAAGAATTCGAATGTTGGCTTTTGTAAGCCTCCTCATTTCAGTTACAATTGTTCCTCCTTTACCAATTAGACAACCAATTCTTGAGGTTGGCACAAGTAGTCGGGTGGTGAAAGAGACAATCCCTGAATCTCTTTCCACTTTCTCACTGCACCGGGGCAGCAATCTTACAGCAGCTTCTATTGTTGGAGAGAAAGAATCCTCAAAGAACTACATAAACATAACTTAAAAATCAACATAACCAAAAAAATCACATTTCATAGTTCCACCCACACTAAATAATCTATATCTCACCTCTTTGGTCGAAATGATTATCAAACAGTCATCTCCTTCAGTTGCTGAACTATCAACTTTGATGGTAGCCCCAGAATCCTGCCTGATTTGATTTATTATAGCACCACCCTTTCCAATAACGCCCCCAATGTTGCCAGTGGGACAAACAAACCGAACAGAAAACTCTCTCATAGATGCTTCATCCCTTGGGGCAGGATACAAAGACCGTGACCAATCACCAGCGTCACCTTTATATCCTCCATAAGCACCCACAAAAGGTGCTACTCCCACAATGGGAGCCCCTGCACCAGGACCACCAGCTGCATACCCACCAGGAACTGCAGAAGCAAGCAGGTGCTGAGACCGTGACGGATTATCACGGATCTGAGCTGCAATTTGAAACAGAGCTTTTTTCACAACCGCACCCTCACCAGAAATCTGCACTTTCAAAACAAACAAATTAGCTTAAACCATTCCAGAGCATTCCTAAATTAAATTTTGTAAGTTGAAGCTTGTGGTGTGTACGTGTAGTTCACAATATTCCGTTGAAGTCCTATCTACTCATATAGTCACGTATTCTAACTTTCTGTTAAAATATGATCTAGCCCAACGAAGGCAAAATTGAAATTGCAATTGCAGTCCTTTTGTAAAGTTGTACAAATTTGTGGACAAATTGATAGGGCTGAAATTGTGGTCTGAAGGAAGTCACAACAAGCAAAAAAAAAAACAATAACTTTTTGCAGCCAAAATCTAACAGACAGTTTGTAAAAGCTGACTGCGATTTTGGTCAAAGTTATTTGTATCTCAGCATCTACAATTTACAATCTTCTACAATCCTTTTTCACAACCTTTGTGCCTATCATGACCCACAATGAATATACAGTTTCACTTACAGTATTACCACTCATCTTCTTAAACCTTCAATTACAATCTCAGTGGTACCCAGTTGAAATTTCTCAGTTTCTCGCTTACCGAAATCCAATATAAACAGAAACATTAACATTAATTTTATTCAGATAAAAGATAAACCAAGTAATTAACCAACTCACCTGAACAAGTTCATCGGAGCTTAACGCGCAAGGAGGCAATCGGTCATCCTTAAGGATCCGAATCTGCGCGCCGGTTTCGCTCCGGATATTCTGCACGATTTGGCCGCCTTTTCCGATAACGCATCCGATCTGATCAGACGGTACGAGAAGCTTTGCAGTGACGTGGTTCTTTTCCTCATCCTCTTCGTCACGTGCGTCCTCGGCAATCACACGCTGGTGAACCCTAAACAGTGCATCCTGAGCGGGCGAGACGAGATCGCCGGTGTCGTCAATTCGGTTGGTCTCCTCGGAGGAACTGTGGATCGTAACTACGCGCTCGTCGCAACCTGGAAGCGCATCGCCGATGCGGATCTTTGCCCTGGTGTCGGCGCGGAGCTGCTTGACGATGTCTCCACCGCGGCCGATGACGCTGCCGATCTTGCGGACGGGACACAGATAGCGGAAGACGGTGTCCTCCGCGCTGATAAGAGGGGAGTCATCGGCGGCGGGGTTACGACGCTTGTTTTTGGAGCCGGCGTCGGAATCTGAGTGGGAGTGGGAGCGCTTGCCGTAGGAACTCCGTTGACCGGTCATCGCTAAGAGTGGGGACTGTGTTGTGCTATCGCTAGGGTTCCGTACGAGAGAGAGAAAGAGATATAAAAAGAGAGAAAGAAAGAGATTAGAGGCCGTGAGCGCTAGGGTTAGAGACTTGTGAGTCAGTTATATACAATGATACCTTCGCCGCCTTCAACTTATTTCTTTATTTATTTATCTTTTGATTGCTTTCGTATGTAACCTTGGGCTTTGGCAACTTTTATTTTTCCTCATACTAAGGTTGAGGTTGGCAGCGGGTGGCGGCATGTTAATTTTAGTATAGTCTATTTGATTAATATGTACTCATTCGTTGAATTTAGTCCATCAATTTCACGGATATATTCGTAAAAGTTAATTTGTTTGTTTTTAAATAAATATTTATATATTAAAATTAAAATATTAAAAAATTATAATTACAATATTTTTTATATTATTAAAATATATAAATATATTATAATTAGTTATTTAAATATAATAAATTTTCAATTATTTAATAAAATATTAATTAAAAATATATTTTTTAAAAATACATATAACAAAATTTTATATAAAAAAAATATTAACAATAATTTATCTATAGCAGCTTTCTAGCTAAGACGGGTTGAGCAGTTTTGCTTTCCGTTTGTCATGCATAATTAAGGGCAAAAAAATATTATCCTAAACTACAAAATTTTATCATTAAGTTAATTATAAGTTTTAGGTTAATTTTTTATCTAGAAATATTTAAATTTTATCAATCATATTTGGGTGAATGTATATTTTAAAATAGTTATTACTTTTATTTTATTATAAAAATCTAATCTCATATTTTTATTTCAAAATTCTATCATAAAATTGATAATGATAAATATTTCAAAATAATCAAATTCATAAATTTAAAAGATAATATATCAAAACCAATTTAAAAATAAAATATCTGAATTATATAAGTAAGATGATCATTAAAAATATAATTTAGTAAATGTATTAAAAAAAATAAATTTTGGGTGGAACAACAAAATTGTTTGTTAAGTAAAAATAAAAGGTCTTCAGAAATGTAAAACATTCTTAAACGATAATATTGTGTTAAACATAATGTCAAAAGAGATGCTTTCAGAGAAAAATCACTTCAAAAATTTAAAATAAAATATACTATTTTAATATAAATCTAAAAGTTAAAAATATATAAACAACTATGACATTTTTTAATAATGATAATAGTATATTTATATTAAAATAATATATTTATTCTAACCCCTCTTTTAATCAATTTATACTAAATAGTTTAAAATAAAATTATCATTTATTACACTTTGTAAATAATTTAACATAACAATTCACATCAATATTAAGTAAAAACAAATTAAATTAATTATAATAAGTAAAAACAAACTAAATTAATTATAATATTTTTCTTTTTATTTGGTTACTTTTGTGAATTATTACACTTTGTAAATAATTTATGATAACAATTCACATCAATATTAAGTAAAAACAAACTAAATTAATTATAATAAGTAAAAACAAACTAAATTAATTATAATATTTTTCTTTTTATTTGGTTACTTTTGTGAATTATTACACTTTGTAAATAATTTATGATAACAATTCACATCAATATTAAGTAAAAACAAACTAAAAATAAGAAAAATATAAAATAAAATTTAAATTATTCATTAAAAAACATAAAAAATAAAATTATTAATTTAAAAAATAATTAATAAATAAAATTAAATTAAATATTTATTCAATCAGAAAACTGCTCATATAATTATTATTTTATTTTTTATTAATTAAATTATTTTTAAATAATATATTTAAATTAATATTTTAATTACAAAATTTTCATGTTATTATTAATTTAAATTCTATTAATAAAATTAATTTTAAAATAATATCTTTAAATTAATATTTCATTTTATTATAAAATTGTTTTAAAAAAATTAAATAATATCATATTATAAATAAATAATATATTAAATTATTTAATTACTTTTATAATATTTTATTAAAATAATAAGTAAGTATAAATATATATATATATATATTAAATTGAGAATATAAAAATAAATAATAATTTATTTAAATAAAAATAATTTTATAAAATACTTTTTTTCACTTTTTCATTTCTATATAGATTATATTAAAAAAATAATATATTTTAAATAATTTTCCTAATTATTTAATAAAAAAAGTATATTTTTTATTTTTCTGTATTTATTACTTCCATTTAAAAAAAACAAAAAAAATGAGTAATGATTTGTTTCCATTTATTTGAAATGGTAGTTCAAAATAGAGTTGTTGTTTTTTAATAGGTATATTCCTTGTACATGTTTATCTTTAAGACACGGTTATTAAATACTAGTGGGAGTTTTTTTTAAGCATAAACACCACATTTTAAGGAGACGAATCCCCCTATAAGACCAACCTTAGTAGGTGTTTGTGATAGTAATTTTTCAATTTTGTCAAATTTTTTAATCGTTACTCTTGTTTTATATTTTTTATTATTGTGATTTAAGCATCGACTGTCATAATTAAAGTCACGATTATGAAAAATTGATTTATTATGAATATTTTAATTTAAAAAAACATTTTAAACTACTTTTTCAAATGTTTGAGATGAGTTTAACAGTTATTTAATTTTAAAGTATATAAAACTTATATAAAATATATGTACTAAGTTTACAATTGTGATGCGACTGAACCACTCAATTAGTTATTTCAATCATTGCATAAATTAAAAACATGTTTTTCTGTTTTGTTAAAATCCACAAATGCTGTGAATACACACATTTAGACAGTACGGTTTTTTTTTTTCTTAATTATGCATCACTAATTCAGAAGGTAGAGTAGTTTAAATACAAGGAATTATCATAACGAATGCATCCAATGCATCCAATGGGAGTTTAAAGTGCACGTGTTAGATAATAATAAAAAAATATATATAAATAAAGTTATTATTATTTATTAAATCACTTATATTTTAATAGAAATATAATTTAGTAAATTTAAATTATTTTCCAAATAAAATATTAAGAAAATAAAATAATGTAAATTAATAATTCGCGTTGAATATTTTTTTTCACATGTGTGAAATCGTATACCTAGACAAACCGTCAACATTATCATGTGGGCTTAACGTCTAATCTAGTAAATTGGTGTGGCATTTACCCAAAATTAATCTAATTTATTTAATTGTTACTTATTTAACATTTAAAGATATTTTTAATTTATTTTTTATCTTACAAAATATAAAATATAAATTTAATATATTCATAAAAAATTCATAACTTATTTTTATTTAAATAAAAATTTCATTACAAAATTTTAATATGTTCATTTTTTACATTATTTTTTTATTTTTTTAAGTTATTTGATGAAATAATTAATTTTTTTAATAAATTTATCATGTTATTCTTTTAATAAGAAAACGTTCCAAGTAATATTGTTTTACTAAATTAATTATATTATATCATTTCTGAATACAAATTAATATAAAATGTTTATCATCCTATGTTTTTTTTAATAATATTTTTTTCTGTAATTTTAAAACAAAAATAAATGCATTGAAGCCTAAAAATAGTAACAAATAAGCTAATAAAATAAATACAATTATAGATAAATTTAATATTATCATATAATTAGCTAACAAATATAATTAATTACAAGTGTATTATATTTTCATATGTAGAAGATTATTTTATATCCATGTTTTTTTGTCGGCATTTAAAATTTTGTTTCTAATAATATTTCTATGTATCTTTAAAAAAACATAATCACTTTTATTTGTAAAAAAATCAATAGTAAGTTAATAATATATAAGTATCGTGAAAAATATTATTTATGTGTTTTTTTCTATATATTTACTCTTTATCCAGATTTATGAGTGGATATTTATAGAGATATCACCTTATTTGTATCTACAAAATTAGATAGATTTGTATTGATTTAGGTGTGGGTTTCAGGTAATGAAAAACTCTCAAGAAAAAATAAAGACATGTATTTACAGCAAAAATAAGATTAAAAAAAATATAAATAACATCATGCAAATAGTGATCTAAGTGAATTATGTTATAATTAATTTAATTAATTCATTCAATTATGTGACTCATGTGAAATATAATGATGGGCCAAAATGTGATTTAATAAAATATGAGGACCTATTGGTTATTATGTGAAGTTAGAATAAAATAAAATATTAACTTACGGTAACCAACTTGATGGACGTTGGTTAATTGAATGGAATAAGGGTTCTGTCTCTAGTCATAAGGTTTTTTTCACGATAAACCATCAAGAAAACGTGAGAAGAGAAAGAAAGACAAAGAGATAAATTGGGAAAAGGAGATTGGAGAACGAAAAGATTAAAGAATAGATTCTCATGGATCAAGGTTAGTCTTCTTATTATGATTCATGTATTGATATATGTTATATTGTGAAAATCTATATTGTGAAAATCAATAATCTAAAGATCATGTAGAGTAGTTTTTCATAATGAATTAAGAACGTAGGAAAACTACATAATGTTTTACATGTGGTATCAGAGCACTGATTATTAGATTTATGATTTTCCTTGTATGAAAGTTTTTCCAAATATTAAGTTTTTCCCAAATTAAGATAAACCCTAATTATGTATTTAGGGATTTCTTTATCAGATTAGTACGAACCCTAATTTATTCCCAAATTTATTTTCTCAAAATTAAATAAAGGAATAAACCTTAATTATGCTTTCAAGTTCAAATTGAAACCAATTTTATAGCCCCTATGCGTGAATGAACCCGTAATTGATTTTAATTGAAAAGACAAATGACGTGATAGGGTTAGGGTGAATCATGTATGAAATTAGTTTTATTATATGTTATAATTATGATGAGATGTTATGATGAAATGTTATAATTATGATGGAAGAATGATAAACCGTAAAGTTGATAAACTTTGCACGTATAGAGCATGTGTTAAACACACATGTTTCATATATTATATTATATTATTTATAATATTATTTTGTATGTACATATTAGTGA